GGCTCATAACCTCAGTGTTCACCTCCCTGTAGCTCCCACTGCCTAGACAGCGGGAGCTTCCTTTCAGGTGTATGTCGTTGGAGGCCAGCCTCACCTTTTGTCACCAGGGGATTATGGGGAACAAGAATAAACAATTGCATCTTTGCCTCTTCAAGTCACAGTTAGGTTTCTGCAAGGCAGATATTTTCTATCTCATCCAGTTTTCCATAGCCTTGGCTGTAAAGGGTCCACAGAGCTTTTCTGCCTAGTATGCCATCTTCCCTCTCAAAATAGCCCTTTCAGCATCTAGACTTGTTGTATGCTGACTTTAGATAACCTTCTGAAATATGTCTCTTCAAAAAAAATACGCCAATTTGGTGAAAGTTATTTCGCTCATATTTTACAAGTTAACTTTAAAAAATAACTTTACACTTATTTGAAAGGGGCTTGACATCTTTCTGAAGCATAGCTATGTAATATTACTTTGCTCCAAAACTAAATATTTAGAAATCTTAAAATCATTTTTAATTTCTCATCAGGCAGAACCGTATATATATAAAACTAGCTCTTTTATTTTGGGGGAGTAATGGAGGTGGCTATGATTAGTTTAAAATTGCCCTTTAAAAAAATAAATCTGGAAGCAGAATTCTCCTCAAGTCTCATTGGTTGAAAAGTTTTATAATTACACTAGTTACAAGAACTAGTCCTGGTGTGGCGCTGTGGATTAATGTGTTGGACTTGCAAAGTCGGTTTGACTGCAAGGTTGGTGGTTCAAACTCACCAGCTGCTCCTTGGAAACCCTATACGGAGTCGTTATGGGTTAGAACTAACTCAGTGGCACTTAATAACAACAACAAGTTGCAAGACAGGCTGGGAAAGTAAGTGTGGCAAAAGAAGACAGCTGCCAGGATTCATTGCCTGGAGTGGGTCACATTGCCACCTTTTGTAGGGTTGGAATTCTATTAGCAAGGAAGAGAGAACGGAATTAGGTGTCACTTGACATTTCTACCAATTTCTACTGTGTGTTAGTACTTCACATAAATTTCAATACAGTGTATATATATTAGGTGGTGGTGGTATGCCTTGGAGTCAGTTCTAGCTCATAGAGACCCTGTATAGGTTTCTGAGGCTGTAAATGTTTATGGGAGCAGAAAATCTCATCTCTCTTCCACAGAACAGCTGGTAGTTTCGAACTGCTGACCTTGAGGTTCTCAGCCACTTAGGTACTTCATAAATTTCAATACAGTTTTCACAATTGTTTATTAAATTAGGCACTATTACCCATGTTTGACAAATAAGGAAATTGATCCTTAGCTATTTTATGTATTTCTACTAAATACATACTATTTTTATGTCAATAAAAGCAAATAATAACAGAAAAATAATTCACACTCTCTTACTTCAAAGACACTGTTACATGTTACACTACAATGTTTCTCTTGTTTCCACAGTTTCAAGTTGTCATTCTGACAGTGAAAGTGAGTATTCTGCTTCCAACTCAGAGGATGATGAGGGGATTGCACAGGAATATGAAGAAGACACTAATGAAGTCATACTGAGCCAAAAGATTGAAGCTCAAAACAGAGTAGTTTCAGCTCCTTTTTGCAAAGAAATACCTTCTAAGAAAATAAAGAGAGATAAAACAGTAAGTGGAAAAAAGAGAATATTTTTACTTAAGTAAAAAAATAGTGTAATACTTCAAAGAGAGGGTGCTATAAGATAAGAACTATCCTTGAGGAGAAATCCAACATCATTTTTCCTTCTATTTTTTTAGGCCTTCGGATTTTGTTAAATAAATACCTCAGTTTTGTAGTATGAACCTTTAGTATAGAATCTCCTCAAGAATAGAAGAATAGTAACTGCGAAAAAAAAAAAAAAGAATAGTAGCTGTATCTTTTTGCTTATAGTTTAATTTACTATACAAATTACTTTAATAATCTATTATAGGAATTTTAAGAATTAAGATAATTTGTAATCCACTCTTTGTAAAGCCCATTTTCTAATGTTTTCCTCAGTCTTTAAATAAATGCATACATATATGCTTTAGAGTAGAGTCTCAGTAAACAAATAATTTGCATTCTTTTTTTTTTTTTTGCCTATAAATATTTTCCATGCGTTTATACAAACATAGCTTTTCATAATACCAAAATGTTATTAATTAGGTCTCTATTTTTGGAACATTTACATTGTTCTTCATTTTTTACTGTTGTAGGTAGTAAATTTTGAGATAGTGTGCCTGCCGTTGGTTCTAACTCATAACAACCCTGAGAGTGGCTGGTAGGTTTGAACTACCACCCTTGCAGTAAATAATCTAGTGCTTATCCTACAGCATCACACCAAGATTCAAGAAGTCATTAGCTGTGTTGTTCTAATTTTTCTCCACTCTTAACTGTTTTCATAGGATAAATTCCAGTAGTGAGATTTCCACTTTGCTTCCAAAGTTATTCTATTCATAATCACATAAATAGCACTTGTTGTTGTTAAGTGCTGTTGAGTTGTTTCCAACTCATAATGACCATATGTTGGGTTTCCAAGGAGTGGCTGGTGAGATTGAATCACTGGCCTTCTGGTTCAAACCAACCTTGCGGTCCAGTGCTTGTCCTACAGTGCCACATCAGGACTCATGAATGTATTGATTTTACTACAAAATGTTACTGCTAGCATCAGTATTTTTTCATAACTTTAGATCATATTAGTAGGAACTCTTTATATATTACCAAGATTAGCTTTGTATAGCTACTTTTGCTTCTCTTTTCTCCCTGAGGAAACATTAAGTGTTTCATAGTTTAAATGCATATTCTACTTACAACCTCTTCTGGATCTCACTTTGTTAGTTGGATATATGTCTTTCACTTCTCACTGGTAATAATTTGTTTGTAAACCTCTGAAATAAAAGGCCAAAGTAAATGATTAAAATAGTTTCATTCACGTGGTAAACTATATAAAAAATTAAGAGCTACACACCCACCCCTGTGCTGGCATCAATTTACCTTTTCCTACCTCCTACAGTAAGGAGCTTTGGTAGCGTAATGGTTACGAATCAGGCTGCTAACCTCAGGGTCAGCAGTTCGAAACTACCAGCTGTTTCACGGGAGAAAGATGAGGCTTTCTGCTCCTGTAACAATTTACAGCCTCGGAAACCCTGTAGAGGGTCGCTATGAATTGGAACCAACTCCATAGCACATAACGACAACAAACCTCCCACAATAGGTAAACATTGATCTGTTTAAAAGTGTTTTTGTATATAGAAGCAAATTTATGTAGTAGTCCTGGTGTGGTACCATAGAATAAGCACTCAACCTCAAGGTTGGTTTGAACCACAAAGTCAGCAGTTCAAACTCACCAGCGGCTCCTCAGAAACCTTATACCGGGTCACTGTGAGTCAAAAGTGACTCAACAGCACTTAACAACAAAGCAAATGCATATTCTTATTTAATTCCCCTTTTATGCAAAAGATAATATATTATCTACACTTTTTTGCATTTTGCTTTTTTACCTTACAGAACATTTTAGAGATGTTTCCATATCAGAATATGAAGAATCTTTTTCTTTACATGCTTGCATAGTGTGTATGTCCATATAGATATACCATAATTTATTTAATCAGTCAGTCCTGTAAATGGCAAAAAGAGCCCTGATAGTACAGTAGTAAGTGCTTAATTGTTAACCTTTTAAAAAGTCAACTGTTCAGTCCCACCAGCTACTGTAGGAGGAAGATGGAATAAAGAATTACAGCCTTGGAAACCATTGGTCCTACACTGTCTCTATAAGTCAGAAGGGGGGAATGTACAAATTAGTTCTGAGTGTAATGTAATCATCAACAGCAATGGGTTGGGTTGGGTTGGGTTGGGTTTGGATGGATGGACATTAATGTTTTAATGAGCCTTATGCTGTTATGGGACTCCTGGTGTGGCACTGTGGGTTAATGCACCAGACTGCAAAGCCGTTTGAACTGAAGTTCGGCATTTCAAGCTTACCAGCTGCTCCTCGGAAACCCTATACAGGTTCGCTATGGGTCGTAACTGACTCGACGGCACTTGACAACAACAACATACTGTCATGCACTGTGCAGCAGTGCTGTAATTAATAATCCTTGTACATAGTCACATCTCACATGTGTTTTTACCTACAGGATAAATTTTCAGAAGTAAGATTGCTTGGTCAGAGAATAAATGCATTCATAATTTGATAAATATTACATTTTCTTCCATAGTGATTATTTTAACTTGTTTACTTGATGCCTTGCCAAACTTTATCTCAGTACAGTTATAATTTATACTTTCCTTAGTTGCGTGAAACTGAGCATCTTTTTATATGTTTTAGAGCCATTTGCATTTCATTTACTATGAGCTGCTTATTCATATGCTTTGTACTTTTTCCTGTTAGGTTGTTGATCCTTTCCTAATCACTTTGTAGGAATTCTTTATCTATTTCCAAGATTTTAGCTTTTGTAGCCACTTTTATCCCCAAGGAAAATGACAAGTATTCACATAAGAAAAATTTCAGTTCATAAACAGAAAAATGTTCAACATTTAAACAGAAAGGTATGTGCACAAAGATGTTCCTAGCAACATTATGCATAATACAAAATTGAAAACTTCAATGTCTTACTATACCGAAATGGTTAGGCAAGTTATAGCATATATACTCAGTAGACTGGTACGGAAACATCGTTGTTTTTTTTGTTGTTAAGTGTATTGAGTCAATTCTGACTCAACTGAAGCAACTTTGTATAGGGTTTCTAAGGAGCGGCTGGTGAGTTTGAACCACCAACCTAGCAGTTCAACCCGATCTTGCAATCCAGCCATTAACCCACAGCGCCACACCAAGACTCCTTAGCAGCATGAAAAATTCATGAGTTGTCAAATGAAAAAATGGATATAAAATTATGTATATTATTATAATTAAAAGTCAGTTAAGTGCTGATGACCAGGGGGCAGGCTTGCAGGGTATTATACCCTTTGGTTGGTTGATGATGCATGGAGGGGATTGTAACCATGGCAATGAAATGATATACGATAGGATGAATGTAAAGCTAATGCTCTCCCATGTAAACTATCACATAATTCACAATAAAACGTTAAAAAAAAGCTGAAGTGAATAGAGAGAAATACTGTTAACTCATGGTACATAGAGAGGATTATAATCATTATAATGAAACAAGGTGTATGATTTGTTGAATGTAAAACTGATCATCTGCCCTGTAAACTTTCACTCAATCCACAATAAAAACATTAAAAAAAAAAAAGTCAATTAGATAACAAGAGAGGAACAAGTCAGTATCATGAATATTTTCTTTTGGCTTCATTGTAATTTGTTATAATACTTCTATTAAGTTTTTATTTAATTGATAGAAACTGGTTATATTTGGAATATAAAAATTTAGACTTATAAAACTTAGGGAGGAATTTAAATAGTGTATTTGCTCTTTGTGTTTGTTTTGATTTTTAAATTCTGGTGGCCCAAGTTACTTTTGGTTTGTAGACTGTTATGGAAGATGTGGTATACTTGTCTGGGACAGAAGTTGAGGGTGTTATGGTAATTACCTTGATTTACAGTAGGGCAATGTACAAATTACTTTACACAGAGTCCTAGTGTGACATTGTAGGATAAACACTGAATTGCTAACTACAAGGTTAACAGTTCAAACCCTCTAACCACTGCTTGGAAACCCTATACAGGGTCTCCATGAGTCGGCACTTAGCAGCAACAACCATGTACAAATTACTTATGAATGTAATTTTCAGGAATGTGTAGTTATGTTGTAGTCCCCTTATAGGGAAGGAAAGCTGGGACTTACAGCTCCGTGTTGGAGAAGAAATATAAAGCAGTAGATTCGAGACTACTATAAGGGACGCAATGAGCATATATGCAAATGCACCATAAAAAGCCGTTGGTCTGTATGAAGCAAGCTCCTCTTTTGCATTTAAAAGTTTCCACTTGAAAGTAAAGTTGAAACCGCCCCTAATCAAGGGATATCAGCCATGTGCATCTGAGACACTGTATACAGAATGCTGGGTCCTGTAGCAAGAATAAAAACTAGTTTCTGTTGAGTCAGCGCCAACTCATGACAACAGTAGCAGTGCACTCTGTAGTGTTATCAGTAGTAGATCACCACACCTTCTCTTGGGACATTTCTGGGTGGACCCAAACCTCTAACCTGTTAGTTGCATTAACCATTTGCACCAACCTAGAATTAATATTAAGGAGCTCTTGGTAGCGTAGTGGGTACAAATTGGGCTGCGAACCTCAAGGTCAGCAGTTCGAAACTACCAGCTGTTCTGTGGGAGAAAGTTGAGGCTTTCTGCTCCCGTAAAGATTTACAGCCTCAGAAACCCTGATAGGGTCACTCTGAGTCAGAACGGACTCCATGACACATAACAATAGAATTAATATTATAATTATAGCAGTTCACAAAACTTATCATGTTCAAGGAGTGTGTTAGGTTTTTCTGTTCCTATGTGAGGGAGTCTTGCTGTGGTGATGTACAGTAAGCACTGGACTACAAGGTTGGTTTGAATTGCAAGGTCGGCAGTTCAAATTCACCTGCCACTCCTTGGAAACCCTCTGCAGGGTTGCTATGAGTCAGAATCAACTCAACAGCACTTAACTTTAGTACAAACTTTCTATGTAACCTAGTTTGAACTTTGCACTTATAAATCCAGAATGGATACAACAGAATTTTCCTTGAGGCCTCTAATTTATCAAATGATTTGTTGTTGTTAAGTGCGTTCTAGTTGGTTCTGACTCATAGCAACCCTCTATAGGGTTTCTGAAGAGCAGCTGATGAGTTTGAACTGCTGACCTTGAGATTCAAACCAGTCTTGCAGTCCAGTGTTTATCCTACAGTACCACATCAGGACTCCTATAGAATAATTATTGTAAAGTGCCATCGAGACAGTTCCAATTCATAGTGACCCTGTATAGGGTTTCTGAGGAACTAGAGAGCTTAAACCACCGAACTTGTGGTTCAAAGCAATTTTGCAATCCAGCGCATTAACCCATAGCGCCACACCAGGATTCCATAGATTTTTACCTTCCTGTAATTTTTTTCCTCCATTTTCACAGTTCTTCAACAGTACCCTTATTAAAGGATTTGCTAGGACTGTACAATGAGCAGGAGTTCTGGTGTGGTGCTGTAGGGTAAAGCACTGGTTCTCAAGGTCAGTTTGAACCACAAGGCCAGTGCTTCAAACTCACTAGCCATTCTTTGGAAACCCTGTTGTTGTTGTTAGGTGCCATTGAGTCGGTACTGACTCAGTGACCCTATGCACAACAGAATGAAACACTGACCAGTCTTGGTCACACCCTCACAGTTGTTGCCACGCTTGAGCCCATTGATGCTGCCACTTGGCCAATCCATCTCATTGGGGGTCTTCCTCTTTTTCTCTGACCCTTCACCTTACCAAACATGATATCCTTCTCCAACGACTAGTCCCTCCTGGCAATGTGTCCAAAGTATGAGAGACGAAGTCTGGCCATCTTGGCCTCCAAGTAGCACTCTGGCTGCACTTCTTCCAACACAGATCTGTTTGTTCTTTTGGCAGCCCATGGTACTTTCAGTATTCTCCAACACCAAAACTCAAAAGCATCAGTTCTTGTACGGTCTTCCTCATGCACTGTCCAGCTTTCACATGCATATGAGGTTATTGAAAATATCATGGGTTGGGTCAGGTACACCTTAGTCCTCAAGCTGACATCTTTGCTCTTCAATACTTTAAAAAAGGTCTTGTGCAGCAGATTTGCCTAATGTAATACATCGTTTGATTTCTTGACTGTTGCTTTCATGAGTGTTGATGGTTGATCTTAGAAGAATAAAGTCCTTGACAACTTTAGTCATTTCTCCATTGATAAGAATGTTGTTTATTGGTCCATTGGTGAAGATTTTTTATTTCTTTACATTGAGATGCAATCCATATTGAAGGTTGTGCTCTTTGGTCTTCATCAGTAAATGTTTTAAGTCCTCTTCACTTTCAGCAAGCGAGATTGTATCATCTACATATTGCAGATTATTAATGAGTCTTCCTCCAATCCTGATGCCATGTTTTTCTTCATATAACCAGGCTTCTCAGATTATTTGCTCAGCATACAGGTTAAATAAGTATGGTGAAAGAATACAACCCTATCGCACACCTTTCTTCATTTTAAACCATTCAGTGTTCCCATGTTCTGTTTGAACAACTGCCTCTTGGTCCAGGTAGGTACAGATTCCTCATGAACTCAATTAAGTATTTCGGAATACTCATACTTCACAATGTTGTCCATAGCTTGTCACAATCCACACAGTTGAAAGCCTTTGCGTAGTCAATAAAGCACAGGTAAGCATCTTTCTGATTTCTCTGCTTTCAGCCAAGATCCATCGGACATCAGCAATGATATCCCACTTTCCCCGGGCTCTTCTGGATCTGACTTGAACCTCTGGAAGTTCTCTTTCAATGTATGTTTACAGCCATTTCTGTGTTACCTTTAGTAAAACTTCATTTGCATGGGATATCAAAGATATTGTCCAATGATTTCTGCATTCTGTTGGGTCAACTCTCTTTGGAATGGGCACAAATATGGATCTCTTCCAATCAGTCGGCCAGGTAGTTGTTTTCCAAATTTCTTGGCAGAGATGAGTGAGTGCCTCCTGTGTCGCCTCACTTTCTAGAGAGATTTCAGTTTTCATTTCATCAATTCTTGGTGCCTTGTTCTTTGCTGATTCCTTCAGTGCACCTTGGACTTCTTCCTTCAGTATCATTAGTTCTTGGTCATATACTACCTCTTGAAACTGTTGAACATCAACCATTTCATTTTGGTGTACTGACTATGTATATTCCCTCCATTTTCTTTTGATGCTTTCTGCATCATTCAATAATTTTCCCAGAGAATCCTTCAATAATGAAAATCGAGGCCTTAATTTTTGCTTCAGTTCCCCAGCTTGAGAAATGCTGAGTGTGTTCTTTCCTGGTTTTCTGACTCCAGATCTTTGCACATATTGTAGTAATATTTGACTTTGTCTTCTTGAGCTGACCTTTGAAATTTTCTGTTCAGCTCTTGGACCTCCTCATTTCTTCCATTTGCTTTAGCATCTCTACACTGGAGAGCAAGTCTCAGTGTCACTTCTGATATCCTTTTGATCTTTTCCTTCTTTCTTGTCTTCTTAATGACTTTGCGTTCTTCATGTATGGTTTTTGATGTTGTATCACAACTCTTCTTGTCTCTTGTCTATAGTGTTCAGTGTAGCAAATCTGTTCTTCAGATCTCTAAATTCAGTTGGGATATATACAAGGTCATAGTTTGGCTTTCATGGACTTGTTATCTTTTTTTTCAGCTTCAGGTTGAATTTGCATATGAGCAATTGATGGTCTGTTTTACAATCTGCCCTTGGCCTTGTTTTGGCTGATCATAAGGAGCTTTTCCACCGTTTCTTTCCACAGATGGAGTCAATTTGATTTCAGGGTCATTATGAGTCGGAACAGACTCAATGGCACTGAACAACAACATATGAGGAGCAAGCACAAGTACTGATATAATAAAAAATCTTTTTTTTTTTTTTTAACTCTGTTTTTGTTAAGTACTGTCAAGTTGATTCTGACTCATAGCAACCCTGTATAGGGTTCTGAGGCTTTAAATCTTCACAGTAGCAGAAAGCCTCATCTTTCTCCTATGGGAATGACTAGTTAACTCAAACCACAGAACTGTGATTCACAGTTCCATGCTTATTGAGATTATACATTGGTATTTAAGAGTCTATTTGTTGCTGTTTTTAAGTACCATCAAGTTGGTTCTGACTTATAGCAACCCTATATAGGGTTTCCAAGGAGCGGCTGATGGATTTGAACTGCCGACTTTGTGGTTCAAACTGATCTTGAGATCCAGTACTTTATCCTACAGCACCACACCACGATTCCAAAAATCATTATTAGGAGTAATTTTTTTTTTAACTGTTAACATCCTAACTTACTAGGTTCTGTTACTGGAGTCTTAGGCTGGACTGCTAACCACAAGCTTGGTTCATACCCACCAGCCGCTTCTTGGAAACCCTATACAGGATTGCTGAGTCAGAACTGACTCACTGGCACTTAAAACAGCAGTTACTGAAATTAAATATGGTTGGTCCTTCCCCTTAAAGAGAAAATACCAGCTATCTGAGAATTTCACATGTTCTGTTTTGCATTGCTGTTGCTGACTAGTTTTGATATGAAACCGATGTCTGAAACTACTAAGAACTGACTTTTCTCTGTCCACTTTCAGAGTAACTTAGTTGAAGAATATTTTGAAGCTCATAGCAGTTCAAAAGTTTTAACTTCTGATAGAACACTACAGAAATTGAAGAGAGCTAAGCTGGATCAGGTATGTTGCAATGAATGTTGTACACTTTTCTGTTGCTACATATGCAACAAATTTAAAGAATAAACCTACACTAACAGAATTCTTGACCTGATTAAATGAACACTATAGAATTATTTTGTTGTATAAATGGTAAATAGTTCACTGGATGAAAATTCTCTTTGGCATTATATAATTTTTTTTTCTCTTATTGTTTTATTATTTCTCCAAGATCTGTAATAGTCATTCAGGGTCGTAGTGTCTTTGCTATCTATATATTATTCATCTCTGTTCATTTAAATAGTTCGTTAATTTTCACACTGGTCATTTAAAAAAAAACAAAAACAAACTGACTTAACTTCCTCTGAGATAGAAACCTTGCCAAAAGCTGAGAATATTCTGCTTAATGATGTTATTAAGCAGGGAAGCCTGCTCATTGAGGTAAGATTACCAGGTTACTATACATTGGGGTTCCAGTTTACTAAAAATAACATACAATTAATTGTACTAGTTGGGATTTTGACTGATAGTTCTTTAAAAGAGGAAATCTTCCGGAGTTGATACTGAGTGAAGAAGATATTATTATTATTAGCTCGGAGAGTATCAAGATTTTATTATTCCTTGCAATCAGAACTTATTCCTTGCAATCAGTGTGCTTTCCTAAAGTGTGCATTACTTTTTTGATGTAGAAGTTGTAGCTTGGGACTAGCTATAGAAAAGAAGAGAATGGTAAGCCTTTATGGTCTGAATAACCTGGTAATGTGTATTTTTATCACCTCCTTTATGGGTATTAAGAATCAAATCAGAGACTAGTTGAAAATATGTATCAAGCTAGCATCTTCCAAGGAAGTGATGACGTTGACAACTACTAATACATACATTTATATAAAAGTAAAATAGGGACAGCATAAATGAATATAGTATTAAAGTAGGACTCCAAGGACCTGGATGCATAAAGACCTCCAGAAGGGTGAAATAAGCACCTCATGATCATGAGAGAGGGAAGGCTATCCATTGATTGTGGAAATAGCTAACACATATCATCTCAGTGACATGCATTTATTTTTCATGTTTGCTTTACATATGTCTCTTCATATGTGGACTGTATCAGTTGACTAGCTGAGGCATGTTCTGATGCAAATGGCAGAGTTGTCAGAGATCAGATAGAGAAATTGAAGGCCTCTTAAAGCCTAGACTCAGAACTGGCAAAGTGTCACTACTACCTTATTCCAGGGGACACAGCAAGCCATGTGGCTGAAAACAAAAGTCAAGAGCCACTGAACTGTATTCTTTACCCCTTTAGTGGGAAGAACTATACAAACTGTCATGGCAAAGAATATGAATACAAAGAATGGGCAAGAATTGTGCCAGTAGTTCAGTTCTCTACATTAAAGTTTTAAATGAAAGTGCATACAGGAGAAAACATTGCAGGCTTCACACTATGAGTATTCTGGAGAATCCAGAGTAAATGATGACTGGGAATGATCCTAGTGTTTTTTCGGCCTTTTTAGGACAAAGGAATCCTGATGGCAAAAGGATTAAACTAAACTCTTAACTGCTAACTGAAAGGCCAGCTGTTAGAACCTACCTTTAGGTCCTGTGAGAGAAAAGACTTAACAGTCTGCTCCCATAAAGATTATAGCGAAGGAAACTATATGGGACAGCGCTTCTCTGTCCTGTAAGGGTTGCTAGTCAGAATCAACTCAATGACACACAACAACACCACAACAAACTCCAAAAGTGATGATACAGTGTTATTTAAATTAACCGTGGGACTTAGGATAAGCACTGGATCGCTAACTGCAAGGTAATGCTTAAGTTCACCAGCCACTCCTTGGAAGCTCTGTACAGGGTCACTATGAGTCAGAATCAACTCAACAGCATTTAACAACAACCACAATCCTATTTAGAAATCACAGAACTATTGGATAAATAATACCTGTACAGGTCAGAATACATAGAATGTTTATTGCAAATCTAGTCACAGAATTAACAGAACGTTGTTCTATAGGTGTAGTCTTCAGAACATGGTAGGTGCAGGGTAAAAACTTCACCATACTTATAAAAGATTTAGAAATTGTCAAAAATTTCAGAACTAGTGGTGCACGTTTATTTTCTCGTGATAATGGCAAATTATCAAGAACTATTCATGCTTTCTGAGAATTAAAATTATACTGTTGTCTTAAGCTTTCATATTAGTTTCAAATCCATAGGGTTTTAAAAGTATCTGGATCTGATGTCAAAACTGGGAGGTGGGTTTAATTGTCTTGTGGTAATCTTTTTAGCGGTTAATACATATTTAGAATGTGTAATCATGTAGCTAGTTTTAGACAAAACATACAAATTAGTGTACTATTCATAAGATTACAAAAAGAATGCTTTTTAAAAATTGTAAAACAAATGTTAAAGTCATATGTGAAATAGTATATTTAATCAATTAATGTACTGTACAGATTACCAAACCAGATTAAGAATGTTTCTACCAATGAGTTCATCTAGCTTCCCCCTCTAGGAACCTATTTTCCATTTGGATTGACTTGATATATGCGTTTTGAGAGTGATTTTTTTTTTTTTTCTCCCTTTCCTTTGTTTTTAAGCAAACTTTGCGTAAGTTATTGAGCAAGGTTTCTCCTTCCTTTACTGCTGAACTTAAACAACTAAATCAACAATATGAACAATTATTTCATAAGTGGGTGTTACAATTACAGTAAGTATTATAATCATTGCAAACCCTTGTAAAGCAGAAGATATTGTATTTATATAAATTTTAATGTTAAAAGGAAAGCAATATAACATTTAATTTTCTTTTTGCAACAAACCTCAAAAGAGTTATTTTCCTTATATTACTCAAAAGTAGAAATTTTGCATAATTGTACACATATGACTCTTCTCAGAAATTGTAGTGTTAAGAAATTTTTGTTTTCTAAGTTTATCAAACTTCATAATTCATTGATAAAATATCGTTTTTATAAATTGTTGTTAAGTGCCATTGAGTTTGTTCCAACTCATAGCAACCCTGTATTGGGCTTCTGAGGAGCAGTTGGTGGGTTTGAACTGCTGACTTTGTGGTTCACAGTCCAGTGCAGATTCTATAGTGCCATACTAGGTGTCTATAAAAATAGATAAACTCTTAATATTCATTAAAATTGGTAAACTCTAATATGACAAGATTAATAAGTGTATCAATTAGATTTTGGTCCACTTTTCCATAGCAGAGTTCCTGAAATGAAAGAACATATATTTTCTTATCATTCTTACTAAGCTGGTGGAGCTATGGAATAGGAATTGGACTGCTAACTACAAAGTCAATTCAAACCTACCATCCTCTCAGTGGGAAAAAGATGAGGCTTTCTGCTTATCAAGATGACTAGCCTCAGGAACCCTGTACAGGTTTGCTGTGAGTCGGAATCAACTCAGTGATGGTGGATTTCAGTTTGGTATATACGTAATAGACCTTCATCAAACTTTTATGAACAGTTCTGTTCTAGAAACATTACTTTATCATTTAAAAAATTATTTCCGTGACATTTTTCAACCTTACCAGTTTTTAGATGCCTCAGGTTAAATTTTAACTTTGCATTAAATCTTAGAAGAATGATTACAAGCAGAGCATAGTATTTTTATTACTGTAGTTACTTTTATATTTATATTAAAAAGGACTTTTGTATAATGAAATGCTGAAGATATATACTAATATAAATGTACACACTCACAATTACATAGTATCGCTGGGGCAAATAAGAAGGCAGGTTCACCAAGCAATAAGAATATAGAAATTGCCAGATTACCTCAGTCAGTTCTGATTTTCTTTTGTTAATAATAGATCTAAGGGTTATTCAGGAAGGGGATGACTGTCTTCCTAGCAAGTATCCAGCTTCTCTCAATGACTGTTTATGATTCTGTGCATTATAAATTTATAAAGTGGTTCTTTCCTCTAATCTCATCCTTTTTCCTAGTATGTCTACTCCTTGGTAACTCGATTTGCTTTCTACCCAACCTAGATCTCATAGTCTAGCTACTTCAGTAGCATTGCTAACTTTCTGAACTCCATTTCTTCTTTCTGTTGCTTTTGTCTGCTTTTTGGAGCTATCTCTTTGCTGTTCTTCTGTTACTAGGCTGTAATATTTGTAGAGAGTATCACATAAATATTGTATGCTGTTTGACTTCCATAGCAATCATGGAATTGGACTTGAGTTTAACCCCTTGTGTCTGGTATTCTGGATGGTCTGATTCACTCTCTTGACTTCAATTGCTTTTTTTTTTTTTTTTAAGCTTTTATTGTGACTTGAGTGATAGTTACATGGCAGAACATCAATTTTGCATTCACCCAATTATATTATATTTTGTTTCATTGCAATGATTACAATCCCTTCAGTAATATTTCCTTTCTCTCAAAACAACCCAAATCTAATCATTATCCAAATCCTATTGATTTGACCTCCTAAAAAGCCACTGGTGCTTTACATATTTCTCCATGACACCTAACAAGTTATTGTCATTTGTTACCAGATTAGTGAAATTGTTTCCTGCTTGCCTCTAGCTTTGCCCCTTTTTCCTATCCATTCTCCACATGTACCAGTATGATCTTTCTAGAAAGATCATGTTATTTTCCTCTGTCAAATCTTTGAGTTACTGCCTTAGTTGTTATTTTTAAATAAAGTCAATTGGCATTATGATTTAGTTATTTCTTTGTGATTTGGTCCCTGCTTCTCTTTCCAATTTACACTATCAATTTAAACTTTGATTCAACCTGTAAACTTTCCAGTGCCATGCATTGGCCATGTTCTCCCTTGCCTTCAGGTATCTGTTAACTTGAAAAATAATAGGAAGTGGAGAGAAAGCTTTTGAAGAAGTTAGAGTGATATGCTTGATGTGGTGGTGATGGTTATGTGCCGTGGAGTGGGTTCCGACTCATAGCGACCCCGTACAGGGTTTCCAAAGCTATAAATCTTTACGGGAGCAGAAAGCCTATCTTTCTCCCATGGAACAGCTGGTAGTTTTGAACTACTGACTTTGAGGTTTGCAACGCAATTCGTAACCACTACAGATGGTAAAATTGTGTCTACCATATGTAACTAGAATATAATTATTTATCTACTCCGGTTCTTTTTGTATTGTTTATAAGCTTAAATTAAGGACACTGATTGACTATAAAATTGGCAATAGAAGATACTGAACTTTACGTATGCTTTTTTTCCTAACAGCCTGGGGTTCAACATTGTCCTTTATGGTTTGGGATCTAAGAGAGATTTAATAGAAAGGTTTCGAACCACGATGCTGCAAGATTCTGTTCATGTTGTCATCAATGGTTTTTTTCCTGGAATCAGTGTGAAATCAGTAAGTGTTTAAAAATAGTAAAGAAAGAGAATACAATTGTATCCCCTACCAGTCCATAACCTCCCTTGGCTCCCCATCCCTCCCTCAATTAATGAGGATGCTGGTGTTTATTCTAGCTTATTCCATTTAAAGGACTTTTCTTTTTAGCACCCTCCCCCTTTTTGTGAACTTTGTATTGTGGTTTGGGTGAAAGTTTAGAGCAAATTAGTTTCAATAATTTATGCACATTTTATCTCCTGCATTGGTTGCTATCCCCTCCATGTAAAAGCATTCTTTACCCTTTCTCCCTAGGTTCCTCATATCCATAGTCCTCCTTTCCTGCCCCTTTCTGCATTCTAAACTTCTATTTTTATGCAAATGCTGACTTTTGGTCTCCTATGGTTAATTGTGAGGAGTACTTTCCTTCCTAATGTTATTATTCATATTGTAAGCCTGTCTATTGTTTGACTGAAAGTTAATTTCCAGGGATGAGTTCAGTTTCAGACTGAAGGGGGTCTAAGGGCCACAGTTTCCAGGTGTTTTTAGCCTCCTGATTGGTAGCTGTGGTGGTTAAGATGACGTGGTTAGACTTGGAGAGTTCTAGCTTCAAATCCCCATGTTCAAATTTCTTGTTTTGTAACAGACACATGTTAAAAAACACATTACATATTATATATTGCACATATTTTACATTAGGGAAACTTTATTAGCTTTGTTACTATGAAAAGTATCAACAGTGCTTCTCTGAAAGATGGAATTATGGAGGATTTCAAATGTTACACTATGCCATTTTGGGCATCTAAAGACAATAAAAACTTAGTTTAGCATTTTATAATGTAGTTCATAGATATTTAGATTCCAGATGCTCATATATCTCCATCATTAATTTACTGTTAATTTACAAAATTAACTTACTGTTTTTAAGTGTTGGATATTAAATAATGTATTCACTTTTTAAAGTATCCTTAGTGTCTTTGTATTATTTAATTTGATGAATCTATAGTTTTCTATGATTCTCATATTGTTGGGGTTTATTTATTTGTTTTTATTATCCTTTATGTTATCTTTACATCTTTTCTATTTTTCTTGATTCTTTTTCATCATAATTTATGGAAAAAGTACTTTAGGGACCCCCAAAATAAATTAAAGACTAAAGTTAATCTTTAAACTTAAACCAAAAATACCCCCTGAGGGTCAGTTCTTAAAGCCAAACAGCAGTTTTAGCTTTCCTAGTAAAGACTGTGTGTCTTGAGCATCATGTTTATCTAAGGTCCACCTGTACAGGATCAAACTGGCAACAGCAACTCCAAAGATTCCATAGGAATCTTCAGGAGCAGTGAGTATAGAGTATATGTTAATGGGGAAAGGACAGTTCAGCAAAAGGAGTGAGGATGGTTGCACAAGTTGGAAAATATAATCAGTGTCACTGAAATGTACATATGAAACTTGAATTGGTATATTTTTTGCTGTTTACAGTCTCAATAATGAGAAATAAAATAAGTTAATAAAAATAAATTTTAAAAAAAATTTAGGTCTACTTATGTTCCAGTAAAAATTTTTAAAACTTGGACAGGAAATTCTAATTCATTTTTAATTCGTAGTAATAATTTATTTGCTATTTGTATTATTTAGCCTACATGACAAAAGAAGTTCTAATTGACATAGTATCTTCTGTAATTTTATAATATAGGTCCTGAATTCTATAACAGAAGAAGTCCTTGATCATGTGGGTACTTTTCGCAGTGTACTGGATCAGCTAGACTGGATAGTTGACAAATTCAAACAAGGTAACCTGAAGTAGATGCTTCATGTAATTTGTTGTTAAATGTCATCAAGTCAGTTCCAACTCATAGCGACCCAGTATAGGGTTTCCGAGGAGCAGCTAGTGAGTTTGAACCACTGACCTTGCAGTCCAGCACATTATCCCATAGTGCCATACTGTACTTACTGCAATGTATTATTTACTGATTTAGATTCTTCTAAAATAATGTGTTTTTCTGCAAATATCCCTGTTAACTTGGCTAGAAGTTATTCCTACAACCTTAAACTTGTATAGTCAAATGCCTCTTATTCCATTCAGAATAATTTTTAGATTTTGACCATAGTGGAGTACCACCAGTTGATTGGCACATCTTTGGTATTTTCATACTGTTTAATTATTTAATATTTATATGAAACATTCTTATGTCTTTATTCTGAGTAAACAAAAATACGTTGGGTTAGTACCACAAACTCAAAATCTATGAAACAAGAAAAACACATTTTCTATGTTATTTTTGTTGTTGTTATTAGGTGCCTTCGAGTTGATTCCAGCTCAGCTATGGTATGCGCAACAAATGGAAACATTGGCCGCCCCTGTGCTATCCTCACAATTGTTTGATTTGAGCCCATAACTGCTGCCACTTTGCCAGTCCATTTCACGGGAGATCTCACCTCTTTTTTGCTGAACTTCTGCTTTATCAAACTTGATGTAACTCAAATGCATAAATTTTTCAACTTTTATATGCGTATGAAGCTATTGAAAATACCATGGCTTGGGTCAGGTGCACCTTAATCCTCAAACTGGTATCTTTGCATTGAACCCTTTGAAGATCTTGTATAGCCGATTTCCCTAATGCAATACGGTTGTCTGATTTCCTGGCTGCTACTTATATGAGTGTTGATTGTGGATCCAAACAAAATGAAATCTTAGACAACTTCAGTCTTTTCTCCATTTATCGTGATGTTATTTATTGGTCCAGTTGTGAGAATTTTTGTTTTCTTTACATTGAGGTGCAGTCCATACTGAAGGCTGTAGTCTTTTGTCTTTATCAGTGATTTTTTAAGTCCTTTCGCTTTCAGCAGCAAGGTTGTGTCATCTGTATATAGCAGGTTGTTAATGAGTCTTCCTTCAGTTCTGATGCCACATTCTTTTTCATATAATCCAGTTTCTCGGATGATTTGCTCAGCATATGGATTGAATGTTGTTGTGTGCCATCAAGTCAGTTCTGACTTATAACACCCCTATATAGGTTTTCCAAGGAGCGGCTGGTAAGTTTGAACCACTGACCTTGCAGTTCAAACCGGCCTTGAGGTCTATCTGCTTATCCTAAGGCACCACACCAGAACTCCATACAGGTTGAATAAGTATGGTAAAATAATACAATGCTGATACACACCTTTCCTGATTTTAAACCATTCAGAATCCACATGTTCTGTTCTGTCAGTTGCCTCTTGGTCTATGTACAGGTTCCTCATAAGTGTAATTAAAGGTTCTGGGAAACCCATTCTTCACTATGTTATCCAAAGCTTGTCATGATCCATACAATCTAAAGCCCTCACATAATCAATAGAGCACAAGTAAACATCTTTCTAGTAGTCTCTATTTTTTTTTTAATGTTTTATTGTGTATTGTGTGATAGTCTACATGGGGGAACATTAGTTTTACATTCATTCCATCATACATCATCTCATTGCCATAGTTACCATTCCGTCCATGCATCATCACCCAACCAAAGGGTATACCCTGCAATCCTGCCCACCCTCCCCTCACGGTCCTCAGCACACAGCCCCTCTCCCTCTCTGGATCCCTAGTCCCCAGCCACTCCATCTCTTCACATCATCCTCTCTCTTCACGACATCCTCTCTGTCTCAGTCTCAGGCCTCACTGCTCCTCTGGGTGGGGTCCCACTCTCCGCTCTTCTCCATTAATGTTCCCAGGACCCTCTGCTCCTAGACTGAAAGGTTAATCACTCCCCTCCTTGGCTATAAAATTGGTAGTCTCTATTTTTAGCCAAGAGCCATCTGATGTCATCCTCTCTCATTCCCACATCCTCTTCTGAATCTGGCTTGAATTTCTGACCGTTTTCTGTTTTACTATTACAGCCATTTGAATTATCCTCAGATAAATTTTACGTGCATATGACATTAATGATATTGTTCAACGATTTCCACATTCCATTGGGTCTCTTTGAAATGGGCACACATATGGATATCTTACATTCAGCTAAACAAGTGGCTGTCTTCCAAATTTCTTGGCATTGAGTAAGTGCTTCCAGTGCTTCATTGATGTTTTGAAAAATTTCTATTTGTATTCATCAGTTCCTGGAGCCTTGGTTGCCAATGTCTTCAGTGCAGCTGGAACTTCTTCCAGTACCTTCTGTTCTTGCCTATATACTTCCTGAAATGGTTCAACATCGACCATTTCTTTTTAGTACAGTGACTCTTATAAGTATTCCTTCCATCTTCTTTTTTTTTTTAATGTTTTATTATGAATTATGTGATAGTTTACATGGGAGAACATTAGTTTAACATTCATTCTATCGTATATTGTTTCATTGCCATGGTTACAATCCCCTCCATGCATCAACCTGCCATCTTCTTTTGATGCTTTCTGCATCATTCAGTATTTTGCCCATAGAATATTAATATTGCAAGTCGAGGCTTGAATTTTCACTTCATTATTTCACCTTGAGAAATGCTCAGTGTGTTCTTTGCTTTTGATTTTCTAACTCCAGGTCTTTGCACATTTCATTATAATACTTGACTTGTCTTCTCGAGCTTCCATTTGACATTTTCTGTTCAGTTCTTTGATTTTCTCATTTCTTCCATTCCCTTTAGCATTTCTTCACTTGAAAGTAAATTTCAGAGTCTCTTCTGACATCCATTTCAGTCTTTTCTTTCTCTCTTGTCTTTTTAATAACATTTTGCTTCCTTCCTGTATCATGTTCTTGATGTAATTCCACAACACTTCTGACCTTCGGTCATTAGTATCTACAGCATCAAATCTGTGCTTGACATGGTCTCTAAATTCAGATGGGATATGTTGAAGGTGATATTTTGGCTCTTATGGACTTGTTTTAATTTTATTCATCTCCTGCAAGAATTCGCATATGGACAATTGATGTTCTGTTCCCCAATCTGCCCCTGGACTTGTTTTGGCTGATAACATGTAGTTTTTCCACTGTCTCTTTCCACAGATGTACTCAGTTTGATTTCTGTCTGTTCCATCGGGTGAGGCCATGTTTATAGTTGTCTTTTATGCTGTTTATAAAAGGTATTTGCAATGAAGAATTCATCAGTCTTCAAAAGTTCCTATCATGTGATCTCCAGCATCGTTTCTATCACCAAGGCCATATTTTTCAATTACTGATCCTTCTTCTTTGTTTTCAAGCTTCACATTCCAGTCACCAATAATTAATTTATCTTGATTGCATGTTTGATCAATTTCTGACTGAAAAAAATTGGTTGTTGTTGTTGTTAAGTGCCATCGAGTCGGTTCCGACCCATAGCGACCCTGTATAGGGTTTTCGAGAGTGTAAATCTTTACGGGAGTAGAAAGCCTCATCTTTCTTCCGCGGAGCGGCTGGTAGTTTTGAACCGCTGACCTTAAGGTTCGCAGCCTGATTCATAACAACTACGCTACAAGAGCTCCTGAAAAAAATTGGTAGAATGCTTCAATTTTCATATCACTGGCTATAGTGGTTGGTGCATAAATTTGAATAATTATGGTATTAGCTGGTCTTCCCTGTAAATGTATGGACATTATCCTATCACATATAGCATTGTATTTCGAGATAGATCTTGAAATGTTCTCCTTGATGAATGTGACACCACTCCTCTTTAACTTGTCATACCGGGCATAGTAAATCATATGATTTTCAGATTCAGAATGGCCAATACCAGTCAACTTCAGTTCTCTAATGCCTAGAATATTGATCTTTATGTGTTCTGTTTGATTTTTGACAACTTCCAATTATCCTTGATTCATAATTCATACATTCCATGTTTCAATTATTAATGTGTATTTGCATATCTCCTTATTTTGAATTGTGCCCTATCAGTAAATGAAGGTCCCAAAGGTTTTACTTCATTCGTGTCATAACAGTCAAACTCTACTTTGAAGTTGCAGCTCTTCCCCTGTCATATTTTGAGTGCCTTCGTACCTGCGGGGCTCATCTTCTGCACTATTCTGACACTATTCAGGTGCTCTTCATTAAGGTTTTCAGTGGCTAAACATTCAGAAGTAGTCCACCTCTCCATTTTCCTAGTCTGTTTTAATATGGGAGCTCACCTGAAAACCCCCCAACATGTGTGACCCTACTGGTATATAAAATATTTAAAATACTGGGGGCATAACTTTCAGAATCACAGCAACATGCATGTCACCATGGAACAACGGACTGACAGATGAGAGTGAGTATTTTGTTTATGCTAGCAATCAGAAAATTAAAAATAAAATTTTTGAGGTGCTACCAATTAATTTTCATTACTTATTAATCAAAAGGAGTAAGTGATAATGTTTCAGTGGTTTTTGAATACGTTTGTTTAGGATGACATTCCTAACTCCAATTAAATAACTTTTTTTTTTTAAGGTTTTTGTTGTGGATTGAGTAAAAGTTTACAGGGCACATCATCAGTTTTACATTCAACAAATCATACACCTTGTTTCATTACAATGATTTTAATCCCCTCCATGTAGCATCAGTTAACAGTATTTCTCTCTATCCACTTCAGCTTTTCAAAAACAAAAACATAAAAAACATCCAGGCATATATAATAATTTACATCTCCAAAGGGCACATTCTACAAGTCTGCCTCCTAGCCACCAAGTTTTTTAGTCCCTCTCCTCTTCCCATGAATCTGGAGTCCTCAGCTGCTCCCCATCTACATGGCCCCATCTCTACTTCCATCTCTGGCATCGCTGCTTCTCTCTGGATAAGGTCCCGCATTCTGCTTCTTCTCTTCTCCCTTGATGTTCCTAGGTTCCTCTATTTCTGGACTGTAAGACTAACCACTCCCTTGTTTT